TAAATCCATTGAATCAATATAAAAGTTATTTTTCATATTGAAACTGTTGAAAATACACAACATAGTAAGTTGATCCACATATGACAGCCTCTGAACTTGGTCAATACTAATCTTATATGCAGGCACTGGACTAAAAATACATTCAATCAGTCATAGTTCCAAAAATGAATTCAACAGGTCATCTTGTTAATGCTATAAATTAATTACAACAATAAAATAAAATGTCATCATTAACATACATGAACAACAATATCACATTAAACCACAGAAATTCCAAAATGACATTTCCCTTACATTCATCTTCCAAAAGTGCATTCATCTTTGCCATCTTACATTCATTTAGTTGACTAGTGCTATACACAGGGATGGATTACTGACCGGGCCAATGGGGCCAGTGCCCAGGGGCCCTTGACTACCAAGAGCCCGGGGGGGCCCTGGGCTTTAATGTTGCGCGATCCAGTTTGGTACGAAAAACCCATCAACAATGAAAACGTATGTTTATTTATGCTTGAATATATGTGTCCCTTAGCCTATACAGTGCCTCTTGAATAAGGCTTTTGGTCTGTGAGGGCTCTCAGGCACTCCTGTTACTATTGGGCCCTGTAAATATGAAGGCCTCCAAATCTTTTATAGAACCAGGGCTGTAGCTGGGGTATCCGGGGCCCAATGCAGGTTGTTGCTGTGGGCCCCCTTGAAAACGCGTTCCGGAAGGAGGGACCCTTCAAGCCCGGGGCCCTTAGAAATGTCACCACCTTTTGCCCCGCTAGCGACGGCCCTGTGTAGAACCATTGTCTGTCCCATACGGTTTCAAATTATATTTATTTGAACCACTCTTTGAGCTTCTTTCTTTGTGTAAAGGGTATAGGAAAAAGTACTATTTGTCAGAATCAGAAAGAGATTTATTGCCATTGCACACACAAGAAATTTGTTTTGGTGACAGAAAAAGCTTGAGACAACAACAGTACACAGATAGTAAAATTAAAAATAAAGATAAAGATATGTGAATACGGGGGCATAGAGAGAGCAATTGAGGCTGTTTTAGCATGGCAAAGATTAACATTTTTTGGCTAAACTCACTAGGGGGCCACAGAGCGCGTTTTTCCATTCCAATGCGCTACTTTTACATTGTTTTTCTATGTAAATAAGCGCTAGACAGACGTGTGTAACCGTTGAGCTCGCGTCTCGCAGTCTTCAGCATCTCGCGCATGACACGGCGTTCTAAAAACACTTCTAGTGCTGTTTTTTTTTTTTTCTTTTACTATAATCAAACAATAATGTAAACTGTTATTGTCAAATCAGACCTTAAAAACGAATTAGTTCG